CCGTCATTGTTGTTTGGCGGGTCCGGGCTGGGGATTCGAACCCGCCACCTTAGGTGTACGTGGCTGGCGCCTTAGCCGGTTGAGCTATAGGCACCGAGCTGAGACCTCATCTCTTAAAAAAAAAAGTAAATTACGGCTGGGCGGGGTGGTCCACTTCTGTAATCCTAACACTCTGGGAGGCGGAGGTGAGTGGGTCATCTGAGCTCACGGTTTGAGACCAGCTTGAGCAGGAACGAGATCTCATCTCTAAAAATAGCTGGGCTTTGTGGCAGGCGGCAGGCGCCTGTAGTCTCAGCTACTTGGGAGGTTAAGGCAAGAGAATCACTTGAGCCCAAGAATTTTAGGTTGCTGTGAGCTATGGTACTCTACTGGGGGTTGACAGTTGAGTTGAGTTTTGAAACTCTGTCCCAAAAAACGAAAACAAGTAATTAACGAGGTGTGTGTTATGCATAATGCACCTGTCCCTGTCTGAGCTACTTGGGAGGATGAGGTCATTTGAGCCCAGGAGTTCTAGAGAATCCTGGGCAACATAGTGAGAGAATGTCTCAGCTGGGTGTGGTGGTATATGCATCTTATAGTCCCAGCTACTTAAGTGGAGGTGGGGGGAGCTCAGGATGATCTCTTGTGTGGGTGGATTTGAGGCTGAGGGTTTAGTGCTACCATAAGCTATGACATCAAGATTTCTGCCTGGGCCACAGAATGAAATGAGATACGGGACACAGGCAGGGAGGGCCTGGTGCATACAGGCTGCTGCTTCCTGGGGAAGTTACTAGGCGGAGTTTGAGAACAGGAGGGTATGGCACTAACAACATTCTAGAGCTGTTTGGAGCTCAATGATGTGTGTTTGGGGGCTTGTCTAGAGTTTATTTACTTATTTTTTCTAGACTTTATTTTTGCCCATGGAAGTTAAAGCAAAAAGCAAAACCAAAGGCTGGTGGCTTTCAGAAATTAGTTTGAGCTGGCATTTGTGCCCTGGATCTATTTAGCCTGGTCTGTACCTAATTCTCACCTCACCTTTTCGATGGGATATTTGACTCAGGAGACTAACTTTTGTTTGTGTGTCAGTTTTCCTTTTCTATAAAATGAATCCCAGAGTCCCCAGGCAGTGGGCCAAACCATTAGAGAGGATCTAGCCTTGTGTCTTTGCTGATGATGCCTATACTGGTGGGGCAGCACTGGGGAGATTAAGTCCCAGAGGTGGGGATGAGTCTATATAGCAGGTGGGAGCATGTCACTCCTGCTGACTGCCCCTGCTCTTCTGCCTGTGCCTCCTCCATCCTTCCCTTCTTGGGAACTTGGGACTCCAAGCCTCAGCTGGTGAGGGAGGAGGGTGAGTGAGTGACAAGCCTGCAGACCAATGGGCCCTAGAGGATGAGGTGGGGGCGGGGCTTGTGCTGCCATGGAGAGAAGAGAAACTGTTCTGTGGGGGAGGAGGGGGTGGTGGGAAGAGGACCTGGAGATTGAGGGGAAGGGAGAGAGCAAACAAAGGGGTCAGGGGAGAAAATAATGCACTGGCTTCCTGAGCCCCTGCGGAGGCTAAGCAGGGAGAGGGGGCTAGGGCCAGAGGGGACTGGGTCTGGCGGCAGGCGGGCTGGGGCAAGCTGGTTCCTAAATGGTATTGTTTGACGGGCCGGCTAATTGCAAAGAGCAGTCTGAGTCACACCCCAGACCTGGTCCCCTCCTCTATCCTGGGTGCCGGTATTTGAGTCTTTGGGGCAGCCTGGACACATGGAACCAAGTCCTGGGCCTCCAAGTTTGGTGAGGGGGCAACGTGGGCGGGTCATTGGGCAGGAGTATAAACCCTGAAATGGCTCACCAGGCCTTGGCTGGAGGACATGGAGTCAGCCCATGGAGGGAGGCGTGGGAACATGCTTGCATCCTTTGGTCCCCCTTCTTCCCTTCTCTACCTATCCTGGCTTCTCCCACAGGAAACGATGAAGGGAGACACCAGACATCTTAATGGAGAGGAGGACGTCAGCGGGAGGGAGGACTCTATCATCATCAACGGGGCCTGCAGTGACCATTCCTCGGACTCGCCCCCAATCCTAGAGGCTATCCGCACCCCGGAGATCAGAGGTGGCCAGGCTAATGGGGACGAGGGGGTGGCATTGGGTCCTGATAAACTGGGCAGTCTCTCTAGACCATAGCTGAGATGGGAGGCTCAAGGGAGACTTTAGGGAGAGGCTTCAGCAGCCTGTACCACACCCTGGGTGGGAAGAGGGCTGTGAGGCCAGACCTAGAGCCAAGCCCCTGGCAACCACCATTGCAGCCTCAGCTCAGCTGGGACTCTGAGGAGAGTGATACCAAGGGTGATGGATGGTTCCCTGTCCTCTGCCAGCCATGATCTTGGTATAGGCCAGGGACTTTGATGGCCCTTTGGCAGTGAAACCCTCTCACCTCAGAGCTGGTACTCAGGTTGGGATGGGACAAAAAAAGGCTAAGGAGTGGGAGGTCTGAGGCTTACCTTTCCTTAGTTCCTAAGCCAGGGCACTTAGGATTCTGCTGCAGCTGGTTTGGAAATCCTAGTACTGTCCTACACTTAGGTGTGCCATCCATTAGAATGTTTTGTGTGTGTGGGATCGTTCTATTATTTCTGCATCATTCACAATAGAGATTTGCCACATGCAAGTACTTGAAATGTGGCTGACAGGGCAGACACTGAATTGTTCATTTAAATGTAGTGAGTGGTTACTGGATTAGGCAACATAATTCTGGAAGGGATTGGATACCTCCCCCATTCATGCCTTCAGTAGTGTTTTGGGTCCTATCTTAGCCTGCCCAGGACTTGGTTCCATGTGGCCAGGCTGCCCTGTTCCCTCTTGTCTTATGCGTACCTGGAGAAAAGCAGAGATGCTGAGAGTCTGAATTAATCACTGAAGATGATAGTGTTTTGGGGGAGGTCCCAATCCACAGAAAAGAGCTCTTTCCTCCAAACACAGAGCTCTGTCCTCTGTTTCCTCCACAGGCCGCAGGTCCAGTGCACGGCTGTCCAAGAGGGAAGTCTCCAGTCTGCTAAGCTACACTCAGGTATGGTCTCTTCTCCATTTTTCAGGGTTCAGGGACATTGCCCAGCTTATTAAATGTGTAACTTGAGGCTCATGAAAATAATATTTTGGGCAGTGTCTATGGCTCAGTGAGTAGGGCACTGACTCCACATATCAAGGGTGGCAAGTTCGAACCTGGCCGCAGTCAAACTGCAACAAAAAAATAGCCTGGCATTGTGGCAGGCGCCTGTAGTCCCAGCTACTCAGAGGCTGAGGTAAGAGAATCACTTAAGCCCAAGAGCTGGAGGTTGCTGTGAGCTGTAATGCCAGGATACTCTACCAAGCGCGACAAAGTGAAACTCGTGTCTCTTAAAAAACAAACAAAAAAAAAGGTATATTTTAGAAGGCTGGGCACCGTGGCTCAACGCCTATAATCCTAGCACTTTGGGAGGCTGAGGTGGGTGGATTGCCTGAGCTCAGGTTTGAGCCCAGCCTGAGCAAGTACGAAACCCCTTTTCTAAAAAAATAGCTGGATGTTGTGGTTGGTGCCTGTAGTCCTGAGATAAGAGAATTGGTTGAGCCTGAGAATTGAGGTTGCTGTGAGCTATAATGCCACGGCATTCTACCAAAGGCCATAAAGTGAGACCGTGTCTCAAAAAAAAATAGGGGTGGCTCCCGTGGCTCCATACACAGAGGTAGTGGGTTTAAACCCAGCCTTAGCCAAAAGCTGCAAAAAAAAAAAAAAAGAAAAGAAAAGAAAGCACGCACTGATCCTATATGAAGACTTCAGCCTAGGATCCCCTGAAATGAGTGGCAAAAAGCCATTTATTGCAAGCAAGGGATGTTATACAGACTCAGGAATAAGTTTGGACTCAAATATAAAAAGTACAGGGGCTGCATCTGCCAATAAAGAAGTTAGTGCCATACTCTTAGAGTTAAAATGCAGGAGAAAGGATTCCATCCAAGGCACATCTTCAACTGTAGTGAAACTAGGCTCTTCTACAGGGAAGATGCTCACTAAAACTTATAAAAGTACAGGCTCAGTGCCCGTCGCTCAGTGAGGAGGGTGCCAGCCACATACACTGAGGCTGGTGGGTTCGAGTCTGGCCTTGGCCTGTGAAACAACAATGACAATTTTAACCAAAAAATAACTGGGTATTGTGGTGGGCACCTATAGTCCCAGCTGCTTGGGAGGCTGAGGCAAGAGAATCGCTTAAGCCTAAGAGTTTGAGGTTGCTGGCTCGGTGCCTGTGGCTCAAGCAGCTAAGGCGCCAGCCACATACACCTAAGGTGGCAGATTCGAATCCCCAGCCCGGGCCTGCCAAACAACAATGATGGCTGCAACCAAAAAATGGCCGGGCGTTGTGGCGGGCGCCTATAGTCCCAGCTACTTGGGAGGCTGAGGCAGGAGACTCGCTTGAGCCCAGGAGTTGGAGGTTGCTGTGAGCTGTAATGCCATAGCACTCTAACCAGGGGGATAGCTTGAGGCTCTGTCTCAAAAAAAAAAAAATAGTTTGAGGTTGCTATGAGCTGTGACATCATGGCACTCTACCTAGGGTAACATAGTGAGTCTCTTGTCTCAAAAAAAAAGGAATAAAGCATGGAAGGGCAGATTAACTCTGAGTAAAGTGCAATAAGATATTTTGAGAACTAGAGAAATCCCCTTCATAAACTAATACATATATTGTTTCTCTTACTATGCCTAATGTGTGAATAAAACTATGTTATAGGTATGAACATGTAGGAAAAAACATAGCAAAATAGGGTTCAGTATTAATCCAAAGTTTGGGGGCCCACTATATAGCAAACTATCCTTCGGTTCATGGAATGAGTGCTGGTCCTAGTATGTTTTGGGGTTGATTTTATTTATTTATTCCTGAATAAAATGGATGTATGGTTTTCGGTAACTGTGTCCTGTGTTTTTGAAATCAAGATCGTGTAACCTCAGATTTTTTTTTATATATATTTTATTTTCTTTCTTTTCTTTATTTTTTGAGACAGAGAGTCTCATTATGTCGCCCTCGGTAGAGTGTTGTGGCGTTACAGCTTACAGCAACCTCAAACTCTTAGGCTTAAGCGATTCTTTTGCCTCAGTCTCCCAAGTAGCTGGGACTACAGGCACCTACCACAATGCCTGGCTATTTTTTTGTTACAGTTGTCATTGTTGTTCAGCTAGCCTGGTCTGGGTTCGAATCCTCTAGCCTTGGTGTATGTGGCTGGTGCCCTAACCACTACTACAGGTGCCAAGCCTATTTTTTTTTTTTTTTAACAATTTGGAAAAACCGGGCGGCACCTGTACCTCAAAGGAGTACGGCGCCGGCCCCATATGCTGGAGGTGGCGGGTTCAAACCCAGCCCCAGCCAAAAACTGTAAAACAACAACAACAAAACAATTTGGAAAAACTTTGCCTAAGTTTTAACCAATTATTACAAAATATTTAAGAATTGCTGTAATATTGAGGTTTCCACCTTGTTAGGTTTTTTCCCAATTGAGTTTTCTCCCCTTTATTTGTGCTGTTTTCTAATTAACCTTAGTAGAGATTTGTCAGTTTGGTTACTTTTTCTTAAATTCAAAGAAAAAAGGTACTCGCTTGTGATCCTAGCACTCTGGGAGGCCGAGGCGGGTGGATCGGTTGCACTTAGGAGTTCAAGACCAGCCTGAGCAAGAGTGAGACTCCATCTCTAAAAAGTAGCTAGGCATCTATAGTTCCAGCTACTTGGGAGGCTGAGACCAGAGAATCGCTTGAGCCCAGGAGTTTGAGGTTGCCGTAAGCTGTGATGCCATTGCACTCTACTGGAGGCAAGAAAGTGAGACTCTTGTCAAAAAGAAAAAAAAGGAAAGAAAAAAGTCGCAGACCATGAAAGAAAACTCATCCTCTTAGTGGCTGGCAACCTGCTGAGGACACCCAACTCAGGAAGAACAAAGAGCTGTGTGAGGAATTAAGACAGTGTACTGGATCAGAGGTGTGGGGCTACTGGTCTGTTTCCTTTTTTTTTTTTTTTTTCTTTTTTGCAGTTTTTGACCGGGCCTGGGTTTGAACCCACCACCTCAGGTATGCGGGACGGGTGCCCTACTCCTTTGAGCCACAGGCACCACCCTGGTCTGTTTCTTTTTTTGAGGCAGAGTCTTACTCAAGCTGTCACCCTGGGTAGAGTGCTGTGGCATCATCGCTTACAGCAACCTCCAACTCTTGGGCTCAAGTGATCCTCTTGCCTCAGGTTTTTTTTTTTTTAAGCTGTCCTGGGCTGAGTTCAAACTCACCACCCTCAGTGTATGTGGCCAGCACCAACTGAGCTATGGGAACCACCAACTGTTCTGTTTCTGGGAGCAATTTATCTGTAACTAGTGGAATCTCTGAGCATATCCTTCGTGCCTGGCACTGGTGTAAAAGATGCATTCTTCTTCTTTTTTTTTTTTTTCTTTTTCTTTTTTTGAGACAGGGTCTCACTTTGTTCTCAGTAGAGTACTGTGGTGTCATAGCTCTCAGCAACCTTTAACTCTTGAGCTCAAGTGATTATCTTGCTTCAGCCTCCCAAGTAGGTAGGACTATAGGTGCCTGCCAACACCCGGCTATTTTTAGAGGTAGGGTCTTGCTCTGGCTCAGGCTGGTCTTGAACCTGTGAGCTCAGGCAATCCACCTGCCTTGGCCTCCCAGAGTGCTGGGATTATAGGTGTGAGCCACCAGGCCCAGCACTAAAGATTTTATGCCCTGTTATGCTATGAGGGGAAGTAGTGTTATTCCAAAATGGACTCACTCATGGCCACACAGTTGGCAGGTAAAAAATCAAATGCTTTTAACCCTCTAGTCAGACTAAGGCACTCACTGCTGCAGTTACTGTGTTTGATTTATAGTAGGTTTTGTTGAGAGACATGGGGCCTGCACTGAAGTTCTTCATGACATGATGCACGGTTAGTGATATTACTGCCTGCTCATTGTATCAAGAAGCATCCCCCTTGGTGGTGTCCATAGTTCAGTCAGCAGGGTGCCAGCCACATACACTGAAGGTGGTGGGTTTGAACCTGGCCTGGGCCTGCTAAACAACAATGAGAACTATAACTAAAAAATAGCTGGGCCTTGTGACTGGAACCTGTAGTCCCAGTTACTTGGGAGGCTGAGGCAAGACAATCACTTCAGCCCAAGAGTTGGAGGTTGCTTTGAGCTGTGATGCCTTGGCACTCTACCCAGGGCAATAGCTTGAGACTCTGTCTCAAAAAAAAAAAAAGAAGCATCACCCTTGAGTCAGGTGGCCTACATATTCTCTTATATGCTATGGCTTTGGATAATTGATCAGCTCTCTCTGCTAGGCATAGTAATATCAGTCTCGTATATTGCCATGGCCTCTTTTCTTTGGATCAAGGATTCCATGGGTTTTTCATTGTTTAATCTTGTCCTGAGTTTATCATCCTATGGTAAGCCACTGTAAAATCTTATTGGAACAAAATGAAGCAGTTGAAAATATTTCTATTTCTCTTGTTTCTATGTCTCTTGGATCAATATTATGAAGGGTTGCAGCATGACCAATTCTTTCTTTCTTTCTTTCTTTTTTTTTTTTTTTTTTTAGACGGCCTCAAGCTGTCCCCCTGGGTAGAGTGCTGTGGCATCACAGCTCACAGCAACCTCCAACTCCTGGGCTCAAGCGAGTCTCCTGCCTCTGCCTCCCAAGTAGCTGGGACCACAGGCACCCGCCACAACACCTGGCTATATTTTTTTGGTTGCAGCCATCGTTGTTTGGCGGGCCCGGGCTGGATTCGAACCCACCACCTTAGGTGTATGTGGCTGGCGCCTTAGCCACTTGAGCCATAGGCCCCGAGCCCCAACTCTTTATTTTCAACTGTTTTCCCTGTGTGGTCTCCTAATTAGATTGAAAAGTTCATGATGTTTTCTTTGTAAAGGATCTGACGGGCGATGGAGATGGAGAAGGGGAGGACGGGGATGGCTCCGACACACCAGTGATGCCAAAGCTCTTCCGTGAAACCAGGACTCGTTCTGAAAGCCCAGCTGTAAGTCACCATACACTGTGCAGAGACACTTTCCACCACTATAGCAAGAATATGTCTTATATCTCTCTAGGGGATCATTGAAGAGAAGAGAACAAATGTTTTTAAACTGGAAAAAGACAGCAAAGCTTCATGGACTCATTATTGGAAGGTTTTCTTTTTTGTGTCATTTCTTTCACAGGGTAGTTTTAAGTTCTTTCTTGGAACATTCTTGAAAGTGCCCAAGTATGATAAGGGTTTTCTGGGTAGGTGGTTCACTTGCCAATTATCTATGGGAGTTCCTGGACTCTGTGGGTGGATTTGATAGCTCAGAAAGAGTGTGAGGTCTGGAAATAGGAAGACAATTACTGCTCACATTCACTCAGCCCTCTAGGTACCAAACCAGATATGGAATATAATCTTATTTTCCCAGCACATGATGTGAATCATCCCTTTTGGAATAGATGAGAGAAGATTCCAGTAACTTACCCAAGGTTAAACATTAAATCTTTTTTTTTTTTTTTTTTTTTTTGAGACAGAGTTTCATTTTGTCACCCTAAGTAGAGTGCCTTGGTGCTCACAGCAACCTCAAACTTTTGAGCTCAAGTGATTCACTTTCCTCAGCCTCCCTAGTAGCTAGGATTATAGGAGCCTGCCACAACGCCTGGATATTTTTAGAGATGGGATCTCGCTCTTATTGAGCTCGCTCCTGAGCTCAAGCAATACATTGGCCTCCCAGAGTATTAGGATTATAAGTGTGAGCTACCACACCCACCTGGCCTAAACATTAGGTCCTGTGCAAAATTTGAACTTGGGTCTAAAACCCCCAAATCTGTGCCATTTTAACAAAGAACACAGAGCCTAAGGACTTTTCTTTCTTTCTTTCTTTTTTTTTTTTTTTTGAGACAGAGCCTGAAGCTGTCACCCTGGGTAGACTGCCATGGCATCACAGCTCATAGCAACCTCCAACTCCTGGGCTCAAGCGAGTTTCCTGCCTCTGCCTCCCAAGTAGCTGGGACCACAGGTGCCTGCCACAACGCCTGGCTATTTTTTTTTTTTTTGGTTGCAGCCATCATTGTTGTTTGGTGGTCCCAGGCTGGATTTGAACCCGCTACCTTAGGTGTATGTGGCTGGCACCTTAGCCACTTGAGCCACAGGCGCCGAGCTAGGACTTTTCAATCACCTTCCTGAAGAACCCAATAATTGGCATTATACTTGTTTCAGTAACAACTGGGCTAAGGGTTAACATGGATTTTTATTTTTGGGTACCAGTTTTTTTGGGGTTAGTTTCGTCTGCCTGCTGGGACAGCCAGAGCAGAATCTGTGGAAACTGTTAGGTTGGTCAACTGGCCTCCTATCTCCCATATTCCATGAACTGGGGAATTCTGGATGGAAGGGGCATCAGCGTCCCCATTTATTTAAATACCTGTTTACTTCCAGTTGGCCTGAGGCTACTACCATGTTTCCCTGAAAATAAGACACTGTCTTATATTTTTTCTCAAGAAGACAAATTAGGGCTTATTTTGAGGGGATGTCTTATTTTTATTAAGTACAATACAACAATCTAGTGATGCGTGAACTCCTTTCCCCTAGCTGTTCGCATATGCGCAATAGGATGCCTGTGATTGCGGTTACCACATCACCCCCCACCCCTGTAAGTGCAAATGGTTACGGCTCCGTATGGCGTGACTATGCAGACATGCTACATAGCCAAGCCCATCACTAGGTCTTACTGGGGTAGGGCTTATATTTAACAAATGCATAGAAATTCTGCTAGGGCTTATTTTTTGGGTAGGTCTTATTTTTGGGGAAACACAGTAGGTCTCCTTGGCCAACTCAAGGTTGAATCCTGACTGCACCACAGACCTTACACCTCCAGTCATCTAAGGCCTGGTGCTTATCCTCTCTTGCTTTCAGGTCCGAACCCGAAATAGCAACAGTGCCTCCAGGTGGGAGAGGCACAGGCCCTCCCCACGTACTACCCGAGGCCGACAGGGCCGCAATCATGTGGACGAGTCCCCTGTGGAGTTCCCGGCTACCAGGGTTGGTTTACCAGATTCCCAGATCCCTGTCCCCAGCTTCTAGCTGGGAGATCTGCCTCACTCACTGCACCACTGTCACCAGTGGATAATCTGTGTCCTTTCTTCACATTCCTCTGCTTTTCAGGATCTTGCTTTTCCTTATTCTCCTGGATAAGCTTCTCTTAAGCCTGTTGACTTCTCTGCTGGCCTGATCTTGGATGGAACTCTGTTGGGAACAGAAGAATGCCCTATTATTGACTGGGTTCTTGCCCCACCTTGGAAACCACTGGAATCCATTGACTTCCAGAACTGTCTTGTCCCCCTATATCTCTTCAACTGTCTTGAGGCCACCCTAGTGGGAACAGCAACACCTTTCTCCTGTTACAAGGTTGGGCGCACAGTAAGCGCTGAAAGAAGTCAATGACCCTCTGCGAGCTTGGCTCAGTCCCTCATCATTACCCATCTTTGGTGCCTTTGTCCTTTGTTCTGTGTCTCTGTGTTTGGGATGGTGACAGTGACTTTCCCTTACCACTTCTTCCGGGAACACTGTCCTCAATGGTCTCTGTTCTCCCAAACTTATGTCTCCGTTATTTCTGCTTACCTGGGAAGCAGGTGAGGGTACCAGTGGTGTCTGGTCACCCACCTGTCTTGCTGTGGCCCAAACATGTGTTCTTCTGTCCACAGTCCCTGAGGCGGCGGGCAACAGCATCGGTTGGCACACCGTGGTTATCCCCTGCCAGCCCTTACCTCACCATTGACCTCACAGATGACACGAATGACGCTGATGTGACACCCCAGAGCAGCAGTACCCCCTACTCCCACCTAGGCCAGGATAGCCAGCAGGATAGCTTCGAGTCCCCACAGGTGGATGCAGAAAGAGGAGACACAGACAGTGCTGAGTATCAGGTACTACTAAGAAAGACTCCTGCCGAGGGTGGCCAGAGATGCCAGCTACTGATGGCCACTTACAGTGACTAACTACTGTGATGATTTTTGTCATTTTTATCATAAGTATTTATTTATTTTTGAGACAGAGTCTCTGTTGCCCACGCCACAATGCCGTGATGTTATAACTCAGAGCAACCTCAAACTCCGGGGTTCAAGAGATCCTTCTGTTTCAGCCTCCTGAGTAACTGGGACTATAGGCACCCACCACAAACCATGCTAATTTTGCCATTTTTAGTAGAGATAGGGTCTTGGTGGTGCTCAGGCTATTCTCAAACTCTTGAACTCAGGGAATCCACTTGCCTTGGCCTCCCAGAGTGCTAGAATTATAGCCACCACCCCCTGGCCTTAATCATAAGTATTTTCCACATGCAACATAATCCTTCTTTAATCTGTTCCCCTCTCAGATACCAGTTATTATCCAAACCACATGAATATTGATTTTTCTGAACATTAAATATGGTTACATAGAAATTATTGTTTGCATACATAGTAGGTAGTGTGATGTTTTCATCATATATTACATATACAATGTAGGCTGTCTTTTTTTTTCCATATGGAGAAGTAGCGTTACCTCACATTCATGTGTGTGTAATACATTAAGTTGTCTGGATCATAGCTTAATTAACCAATCAAGCTTGTTGATGTCTCATTCAGGTGGTGCTGCACAAAACCTCATTACATGTGTGTGACATTAGGATCTCTTTTTTTCTGTGAACATTACTGTAGAATACATCATACTATAGGTACACTTTAATAATACCATAATAACTTGGTGTGTTTTCGCGGGCATCTCACATTTTATGCAAGCTTCTTATTGCCCTCAATGTTGGTGGAGTGGGCAGGGCTTGGCTCAAGGTGTTCTGTCTTATTATTTACTGGGTTCCTTCATGTGGTTTTTTTCTTTCAGGATGGAAAGGAATTTGGAATAGGGGACCTTGTGTGGGGAAAGATCAAGGGCTTCTCCTGGTGGCCTGCCATGGTAGTGTCATGGAAGGCCACCTCCAAGCGACAGGCCATGTCCGGCATGCGATGGGTCCAGTGGTTTGGTGATGGCAAGTTCTCTGAGGTGAGTCCAGGACAAGGCAAAGTCTTGAGTGGCACCACAGACCTGAGACTATCTTTCCTTTATTATAGTTGTGTCTTGAGATGACAGCCTACAGTTTACTTTGTGCAGATGGATGAAGCTATGCCCTCAGGCTCTGTTGAAGGAAGGATGGACAAACAGCAACCTCAACTCTTGGTTTAAGTCATCCATGTCCAGCACACCTGGCTATATTTAGGGACAGTGTCTTGCTTTTGTTCAGGCTGGACTGGAACTCCTAAGCTCAAGCAATCAATTTGCCTCTTGGCCTCTCCGAGGGCCTGGATTACAGTTGTTATTAGCCACTTCGCCCAACTCTTAAACAGATTCTTAGGGTCTTGTGGGGCCAGAGCTATTTCACAGGGAATAAAGAACTGGAAAGTTCTCTGGATCCATAGCTATTTGGATTTTATTTTTTTTTAGGTTTATTTTTCTGGGGTGGAATCCCTAGTTAGGAATCTGAGGAGTGAGGAGCAGCCACCTGGTCAATCAGCCAAAGGTGAAGAAGCCTGGAAGACACAGGGAAGGATAGTCACTGCCTCTTAGTGTCACTTAGCTGTGGAGAGAGAAAGGGTTTAGGACATCCTTTGGTAGACCAAAAGCTGGAGGTGGTGTTAGTTATGGAAACTTCTTTTTTTTATTATTATTAATTTTTTTATTTTTTTGAGATAGAGCCTCAAGCTATCCCCCTGGGTAGAGTGCCTTGGCATCATAGCTCACAGCAACCTTCAACTCCTGGGTTCAAGCGAGTCTCTTATTTCAGCCTCCCAAGTAGCAGGGATCACAGGCATCCACCACAATGCCAGGCTGTTTTTTTGGTTGCAGCCGTCATTGTTGTTTTAGCGCTCTTGGACTGGATTCGAACCTTCCACCTTAGGTGTATGTGGCTGGCGCCTTAGCCACTTGAGCCACAGGCGCCAAGCCAAAACTTCTTTTTACAGTTGGTTATTTCAGAGACTCTTTGTGTTTTATTTTTATTTTATTTTATTTTTTTTTTTTGAGACAGAGCCTCAAGCTGTCCCCCTGGGTAGAGTGTCATGGCATTACAGCTCACAGCAACCTCCAACTCCTGGGCTCAAGCGAGTCTCCTGCCTCCGCCTCCCAAGTAGCTGGGACCACAGGCGCCCGCTACAACGCCCGGCTATTTTTTGGTTGCAGCCGTCATTGTTGTTTTGGCGGGTCCGGGCTGGGGATTCGAACCCGCCACCTTAGGTGTACGTGGCTGGCGCCTTAGCCGGTTGAGCTATAGGCACCGAGCCTATTTTTATTTTTTTGAGACAGGATCTCACTCTGTCACCTGGGTTAGAGTGCAGTGGCAGCATTATAGCTCACTGCCACCTCAAACTCAGTGTGCTCAAGTGATCCTCCTACCTTACACACCAGGATAAGTTTTAAATTTTTTAATAGAGGTGGAGTCTGTCTCGCTATGTTGTTCAGGTTGGTCTTGGCTCCTGCCCTCAAGCCTCCCTCCCACCTTAGTCTCCCAGTGTGCTGGAATTATAGGCATGAGCCGCTGTACCCAGCCTATTCCAAGCTCTAGATGGTTAATTTTAGCTGTTTAAAATCTTCCTTGACTACGAATGTTTGCTGGGAAAGAGCCTTGTTAAGGCATGAATTTCTCTAATTTGATTCCAAAGATTTTGATTGTAATAGCACAGACAGAATATCTTTTCTGTGACCCTAGATGATGTTAGGTGAGGTGCCTAAGCTTGTCGCACAAATTGGGCATTGCTGGGAGCAGGGCAGGTTGGAGGGAAGTGTGGGAATGAAGGACCAACTAGTTCTTTCCTGGTATTCAGGCTCAGGTTAAGATGCTGGGTTTCCCATGAATTGAGGTCCCATGGGTCAGGAGTCTGTATGGACTCTGCCATAAAAATTTCTCAAGGGCTAGAATGGCTAGAACAGTAGGAAGCAGAGTCTCCCTGGTTGAAGAGTCTGCATGCTGATGTCCTCTTTGACCAGCAGAGGGAGCAGAAGGACAGTTTGTTGGGGTATGGTTCCCTTGAAGCATCCAAGTCCAGGGATGGATGCAATGACTTCTGTGAAATAAAGGAAGATGCATTCTTTGTAATAGTTTTGGCCCAGTGAGGCATCAAATGTGCTTTGTGCGGCAAAGTCTGATGCCAATAAAATGCATTTTGGAGTTGCTAGCATTTATGAATGGGAGTATAGTGTGAAGTCTGGCTCTGGCCACATATGAGTGCCTTTGGGAACAACACCTGTATTTTTTGTAGTTTCTTACCTTCCAGAGCCCCATTTCTACATGATCCTGTGGGAGGCCAGGATCTCAGACACAAAGTGGCAGCTAGCATTAAGGGTGAGCATTTTATGGAGAATGGAATATTCTATGTGCCTTTCAGCTCTGGTTAGCCTTCCCTGAACTCCCAGTTTCATCTCTCCCTGGCAACCTGAACTGCTCCTAGGGACTTTAAGCATCAAGAGAGGTACAGAATATTGATCAAATCACAAGAAGTAAAATAAAATAATCATAATAACTAAAATGTACATACTGTGTCAAGCACTGTTCATTTGACACATAAATTAAATGAACCCATTTAATAAAAGGATAGTGAATGTCATGCTCTTGGTTTATGTCATTATGCTCAGGAAGAAGGGAATAAAGCGTGTTTAATCCCCAGTGCTCTAATATCCATGGAGAATTTTGAGCTGAGCTGCTGGGGTCTGCAACCAGGGATGTTTGCTGTTAAAATGTACGCCTCCACAGGCCACATCTAGTTGTTTTCATTCAGTGCATCCTGCTTTCTCCACACCCAGGGCGTGCATCTGCCCTATTTCTGGCTATAGGGTGTGTTGGACTCTGCATTATTCCTATTCTCTGCTGTTTTCTTTCCTTTCTTTTTTTTTTTTTTTTTTTTTTTTTTTTTTTGACAGAGTCCCACTCTGTTCCCTGGATAGAGTACTTTGATGTCCTAGCTCACAACAACCTCAAACTC